TTCTGCTGTTCGTTCATCAATGGTTTGAGGTGATGTTGGGTATTTCGTCAGTCGGTCCCAAGGAAGGAAATCTCATGTCCAAAGTGAAGTTTGGCTGGTGTGTAACCTGTAGACTCATGAAAAGAAGTTCTAATAGCTAGATAAAATCTCAGATAAATGATTATCCCAAGTTCAATTATTTCTTTTTTAAACATGAGCAGATATCATTCTACCAATATTTATATTTACTCTTTCAGTAACGTTAGACTGAAGATGATATGAAGTTGTAAAGATGTGTTTAATTCCCAGAGCTTTACAAGTTTCATCCATCAAATGTGGGCCATTATCAGATACAAGTGTCTTTGTTATACCATATCTACACAAGTATTCATTAATTAGTTCTTTGCAGTTATTTGTTTGAGAGGATATAATTTAATCCATTTACTGAAATAATCTGTCACAACCAACAAATAACTATTTCCTGTCCTAGACTTAGGATAAGGTTCCATGATGTCTACTCCTATTATCTCACCAGGTTCCATTAGTTTAGTGCTTTGCATCAATCCACCTGGCCGTTTCTGATCAAATTTGGTAGTTTGACAAACATGTCATGACAACACATACTTTCTCATACCAAACCAATAACCACATCTGGATACGTTGTCTATTGTTTTTTGGACACTTAGATGACCAGCCGTAGGATGATCATGCAGTTTAATCAACATCACCAGTCTGAATTCACCATTGCTAGCGAACCCTTTTGTGTAATAAAGAACATTATCATTCAAGACATAGTGTTTGGATTTACTTACAGTCTCTGCAATTATAAGAGAATCGTCTGGTAAGAATCCAGTTTTCAAATAAAAGTATATATGCATATATTGATCATCTTTAGCTTGTTCAGTAGTCAACTGTTCTCTGGTGTTAACATTGACAATGGAAAAAAGTTTAGGTGATACCTTACTGATGACCGGGGAGTCTGTAGGATGTCTGGATATGACATCAGGGAACTGGTTCTTTTTTTTCCTTTTCTGTGCAGTATTTGAAATTTAATTCTTGTAATTTTAGTGACCAACAGATAAGTCTACCAGTTAACTTTGGAGGTATCTGTAACCATTTCAAGGCAGCATGGTCAGTTATAACTGTAAATTCTTCTCCATCTAGGTATATCTTAAACTTTTCTATAGCCCAGACTATAACTCTGTAATAGTATAATTTCTTTCTGCAGTGTTCAGCGTTCTACTGGCATATATTATGAAACCCTTCTGACACAGATCTGTTCTTAATACAACATTTGAAGCATCGGTATACAAAAAATAGTGTTCACCTTTTCTTGGAAGTTGCAAGACAGAGGATTCGCATAAAGCTTGCTTTAATTTTTGGAATGCATCCTCACACTGTGGGGTCAATTTCCACCTGATATGCTTCTTTCATAACTGATATAAAGGTTCAGCAACTGTAGCAAAGTTTTGAATAAACTGATTGTACCAGACATACATACCCAAGTATATGCTTAAACCTCTGCAGTTTCTTGGAGTTGGGAAGTGTGTAACAGCGTTCACTTTGTCATCATTTGTGTGTATTCCCTCAGAAGAGAGTTTAAATTCTAAATATGATGCTCCAGATTGGCAAAATTTGCTTTCAGGAACGTTTCCAGTATGTTTAGTTGTACGTAGCTTGTAGAAAACCAATTCAAGGTCTTTCAAATGTTGTTCAGATGTGAGTGAAAACACTATAATATCATCAATATAAGCTTTGAAACATTCAGTTGCTCCTGCTAAAGCAATGTCCATAAGTCTTTGGGGGGGGGGGGGCAGGTACAATTCTAATACCGAAAGGCATCACTTTAGATAGAAAAAGTTCATTATCAGTTAGGAAGGCAGCTTTATGTCTATCCTCCATCTTAACAGGTATTTGCCTATATCCACTGGATAAGTTTAACGTACTGATACAGGTTGCCCCTGATATATCACGTATATGAAGCAGTGGACAGAAGTCAGATTTAGAGACTTGATTTAACTTCCTGTAGTCAACACAGAACCTAAAATCATTAGTCTTGTTCTTGACAATAACTACTGAAGAAGCCCAAGAAGTAGAGGGTTCAATTAACCCATCACGAAACATTTCATACACTTGATCATATAGCACTTATAATTCAGTGGGAGAATAACAATAAGATTTACTAAACATTGGCTTTTCTGTAGTGGTTACAATACTGTGTTTAGACAAACCTGTGGGGCCAGGTTTGTTGCTAAAAATATCGGCATATTTCAATACAAGTTGCTTTAATTGTTCACAGTCTTTACTCTTTAAATGTGAACATTGTATTTTTTCAATCAGTATCTTTTCAATCTCAGAGTCATGCCTAACAGATGGAACTTTTAATTCAAGAACATTTGTGAAGAAGTTAAGGGTTGCTTCGTTTTACTGAATGCAGTCTACTCCAATAAGACAAGATACAGCCAAATCTTTGACGACGACCGAACATTGGTCCACAGTGTTATTTGTTACTAATAGTTTTGCTTCAAAATATCCAAACCATTGACAGTTCATCATTCCATCTACAAGACACGTTACCTTTACTTCAAGTTTGTAATTAAAGTGTTAGATCATTTCTCCAGATTTTTGCCATATATTTTCATATAATACTGAATAATCCGGCCCAGTATCTATATGATCTCCTACTTTCACGCCATACATTTTTAGGGTTAGGTGTGGCAGATTCATTTTAGTTCTTGTTAAATAGTAAATGGAGGTTGATTATAAACAAGATTACGACACTTATAAACAACATTGTTTATTGACAAAAAGGGGACATGGATAAACGTTTCAATAAACAATGTTGAACACATCGATTGCTAGTGAATGGAGGGTTTTACTTTCACGGGACTCAAAACCTCCTTCTTTGATCCCTGCTCTTGTTTCCCGACAGCTGTCCTTCGTTTCTTTCTTTCCTGTTTACAAATTCTTCTAAAGAGTTCCTTAGCCCCTGGGTACAAGTTAGTCAATGTTTCTATAAATTCTCCCCAGTGTTCGAAATCCATTTTTAAACCAAAAGCCTTCCACCATTCTAGTGCCCCTCCCCTCTAACAGTTTCCACCCATTTATTCTCAGGTTAATAACAATATCGAGTGATAAACAGTAATAATTCACTAATTATCTGGTGACTCTCTCTCTCTCTCTCTT